AGCAATGCTGGTATAAGGTCTCCTTGATTGTTAATCTGCATCTTGCATCTGTACGCAAATGTGGAATGTGGGTTTCTGACTCCCCAAGAAACCAAGTGAACAAGGAGGGACCTAGGGGTGGAATAAGAGATGGGGCCCATACCTTCATGCCCAGGCTTGTGCTCATGCTGCTGACATTTAACACCCTATCCAGAGAAAACAATTGAGGGTCCTGTGTGTGTCCCTCACAGTGCTAGCATGTGTGGGGTTGATGGAGAAGTCTGGCTGCTCCTGTTTCCCATGGCAACAGCTCAGCATTGTGAGAAAGCAGATAAGTGTGGGTTCAGACTGGAAACACGGACCGCAGGATTCTGCATGGCTCCTGGCTTGCACTGGGGGTTTCTCATCCCCAGCCTTTTGCCTTCCCCTGTTCCCTCCCAACCAGTCACACAAAAATCATAAATGAGGGATGGGTATCAGTAATATACCCCTCAGCTGTGGCTCCCCCTGCTGGGGGTGTGGTGCAAATTGTAGTGGTAATCACTCTTGAGATGTTGCTGTTGGTAAAAGCAAGGAGCAGGTACTCTGGGGAGGCAAGGATGTTGAGTCAGGCAATAAACATTATTGATATGGAGGCAAAATAAAGAGAAATGGCAGGTTAAACCTTTTAGAAGCTGCAAGAAGAAGTGATGGAGGGAGGTAGGGGGAGCTCAATCCAGTAGCACAAGAGAAGGGAATAAAATACAGATCTCTGGGCAAAAATAAATATTCCTGAAGCATAGAGGAAAACCTTTATGCCTGAGACTGGAAAATGGCCTACAGCGTGATTTTAAAGCATCCTGGGGGATAAAAAGGGGGAAAGGTAAGTCAGATAAGTGGAGAGGAATAAGAATAAGGTGAGGAGGGAAGGGAAGGGGAGCAGAGAAATCAATGTCAGGTTCACCCAAAGACCAAGGGCTGCAAAGTGACAACCAGCAGCCAAAATCAGCCAGGCTATTTAGAAATCATTTAAGCCAACTTTTTAAAAAAATCGTATGTCACGCCAAGAAATCTAGATTTCTGGCTTCTCTTAAAAAAAAAAAAATCAGAAAGTCTGGCCACTCTGGGTTTATATATATAGCCTTAAAGAAAATCTACTTGACCTGGGGCTGCTGCCTCTGCATCTTAAACTGGGATGTAAGGTCCCCAGAGCCCCAGAGCTCCGTTGATCATTGTCTCACTCTCTTGGGCCCCAAGATGTCTCTGTTTCTCCTGATTTCCTTCACACTTGACAATGCTTGTCTGGCTCTGAACCTGGAGATGTATTCTGTAACAATTACATACTGGAGTCTAAAAAGCTCTAGTCTGCAAGATCCCTTCTAGCTCTTAAAGTAAAATTTAAGAATCTGGGTATCTGCTTAGCAAAGGCTTAGGGGAAATAAACAAGCAACAGTCTCATCCAAATCCTGATTCACTGATTTTCCTAACAGAGAAGAATTGGGGCTTTCTGGAGAAAGATAAGCAGAAGGGCTGCCCCTTCCCAAGAGCAAGAAGTAAGGAGTCCTCAGCGTCTAAGGCAGCCTGTAAAATTCAGTGCTGAGAAAGTGGTAGAATCCAGTCCATCTCTAGGCCTTCCCAACATTTGGGGCTTCTAATCCTTGCTTAAAATCTTCTGAGGAGGGGCTAGTCTTGATTCCTATGGTAGCAAAGAAACAGAAGACGTGGGTTGCATTTATTGGGCACTCTATCTCCAACAAATTTTAAAGTGTCTAGTATAACACTCCTTGTTTACCTTTCCAGAAAGCGCTCTGGCAGATTTTACATCCAAATAGTGAAAATGAAGAACAGATAAAGAAGCAATCAGGGCCAAATGTAGTGATGAGAAAGGTCAACTGGAACACCAGCCCTGGGGGCAGGGCGGGGGAGGGGTTCTATAGCTCTGCTCTCTGGCTTGAGCAATGAAATAGCAGACAACGCAATAAGTCCTCTTGCTGCAGAAAGTTTTGCTGTCTTTTGGTGGCATGCTGTTTTCAGCACAAAAACAAAGAGGATAATATTAGATCTGTTGCTTGTTAAGAAAACCTTTGCCTCTTACAGTACAAAATTGCAGTCATATATCTTATTTAATTGATACTTGATTTTACTGCTGAATGTTAAAATTTTAATGTGTCCATAAATCTGTCTCATAGTTTTAGAGAAATATCTGTGTTAAGAACACACTGTACAAGGATGAAGGCAAGAGAAGGGAATGATGAATCCAAAATATACATTATTAATTTTTTAGGAAGCAAGCAAAATGGTGCCCCATAAAGGATATTAGAAAAAAATAAAACAGCTGGGTCTTCTGATTTGCTTTATAGAAAATGCTGATATGGGGCATATCCTTACAGAATCAACTGTTTTGACACAGTAAAAAAAAAAAAAGTAGATAGATAGAAATGGGATTGTGATATAAGTCAGCTCCTTATCACAGGGAGAAAGTGATATTTCCAGCACATACACAGTGAGTGTCACTAACCAGCATCGGGGTGGGGAGCTGGTCCAGGGGCAGGGAGACCTGGTCTGAATCCCATGGCAGCACCTATGGGTGCTGACACATTACCCTGAGAGCCCTGAGTCTCAGTGTCCACTGTGTGAAATGCAAAGAGCATCGTCTCCGGAGGCTTCCGGGAGAATGCAGAGAAATGCTTTATGTAAAGTGCCTCAAACATAACAAGCAATTAATACCGATTAGTGTATCATTTAGTCAAATAATGACTCAGGGTCAAATCCAAGTCATGGCAAAGAAAGCTAATGGGGACACGCCTGGGAAGAAAGACAGTGCTCCCGCCCTGCTCTGGTGCTGGCTTTCTGCCAGTCGGCTTGGGCTGACGGCTAGAGCCCTCCTGCCCAGGCACCCAGGCAGCTCGGGCTGGGACTGGCAATGCTGGGGAAGGTTCAGGAGCACAGGGGCCCATCAGTGATTTGGGGGGGCGGAGGGTAAGAAAGCAATGGGGGTGGGGTCGAGGCAAGGGAGCCCTGCCAGCCAGCCCTGATTCTCCAAGGAAAGCAAGCTCGCAGGAAAAAAGAGCTGTCCTTTTCCTGGTCCCCATTCTAATGACCATTCCAATTCCCTTTCCTCCTGGAGGAGTAAGAACATCATATGTGGGATCTTGAGCCTCCAATAAGGTCAGTTCCACATGGTAATGACCCTTCAGTGTCTCTCCATCTCTCCTCTCTGCGCTGAGCATTTCTGAGCATTTCCTTTCAGGTGATGTGCTAGGAGTTGCAAGCCCTCTTTATTATTGCTGGAGAAATCTCAAGTTTTTTCCTAGCCTGCCTATTTCCCCATCTCCTTCCTGCCCTTTATTAACCTCACTCAGCCAGAACCCAGAAAGAGCATCGTTCCCTCACCTGGGTTGCTCAGTGCCTGCCTGGAACGGGCCGGGCCAGCACTCAGCCTGAGAATCCCTCACTGCTGGCGCCATGTTACACCCGCTACCCCACAAATCCAGCCCCGTCACATTTGATGTGTGAAGGGATTTAAGAGTGTTTAAAAATTCATCAATGTCTTCATTAAAATCCCCTACAGATGGTATAATGCTCATTAGATAGTTTCATGCCAATCAAGACAGCAAAATCTCAAATTTATTTGATGTTGTTCTAAACGAACCCGAGGCTCTCTGAGTACATTGCAGACCTAAATTGGCATGACTGACAGGGCGGTGGCAGCCTCATCGCACCTTTGTTTTAATTATGCCGGAGCTAGGAAAGAAGAAAAGATGATTAATTCCATGACAGAATATTCTTGCTTTCCTTGTCAGGAGAGAACTGCACATGGTGGGTAGGGGAAGGGGTGGGCAGAGCAAAGATACAATAGCCTTGGTTCAATGCCACTTTAAATTTGGATGCCCTTGGTGTGCCTGTTGGTCTGTAAAATTAGAGCACAAGAAAATAGATGACGATCAAAAAGTGATTCTATATAATGCAGTTCGTTGAAATTTTAGCCTGTCCATCAGCCTGCAGTTTGTTTCAACTCTAAAGACCCATCATATAATATTGATGCTTTTAGCAATTAATACATGCTACCTAACAAATCAGCACATAATTCAGTGAATTAGAATATATAAACAGTTATTATTACTAGTCAAGTAGCTTTGATCAGCTGTGGACTGATTGAGGACTGGCTGGCCTAGAATGACCTCCTTTGCATGTCTGAGAGTTGGCTGGCTCTTGGCTGAGTTGGTGAAATTGACTGGTCATGTGACTCCCATCTCTTGGCAACCCAATCAGGTGTGATGGCTGCATAATTCACTGCCCCCTCCAGGTATGTCTGTGTCCTAATGTCTAGGACATGCTGCCTTATGTAGTGAAAAAGACTACATGTGTGATTCATTTAGGACTCTTGCAATGGGGACATTGTCCTGATTTACCTGAGTGGACCGAATGTAGTTACAGAGTCCTTTGTAGAGGAAGGCAGGAGAAACAGAGTTAGAGAGAGAAGAGGGAAGGATGAAAGCAGATCAGAGAGAAAAGAAGAAGCCATAGTGCAGGCTTTGCAATGGAAGAGAGTCCAGGATCCAAGAAATTCCAGCCTCGAGAAGCTGGAAAATGCTTCTGGATTCTTCTCTAAAGCCTCCAGAAGGATCACAGTCCTCTGGACCCATTTTAAACTTATGAACTGTAAGAGAATAAATATGCATTTCTATAAGCCACAAAGTTTGAGGTAATTTGCTACAGCAGCAGCAGGAGACCAATACACTTGGACTTGCAAAAGGGTTGCTAGTTAGATTCCAAGGAGTCAGGCTAGGGGTTGGCATATGGTTGCTTCCTCCATGTCCTATTGGCCGAAGACAGCAAAAGGCTTATCCAAATTCAAGGGCTAGAGAAATAGATCCCACCTGTTAGTGGATTCTGTTTCTCTAACATCTTGGTGGGAAGAATTATAAAGTCACATTGCAAGTGGTGTGCAGACCAAGAGCATTAAGGAATTAGGACCATTTTTGTTTTTTGCAATCTGTCACAACCAGGCCCTTCACAAAGTGACAAAGGACATTCAGAAGCAAAGTCTGACCATGGTTTCTCTTTCCAGGAACACAGACAACATGAGCATCTGGACCTCAGGTGCTGACATCTTCCAAAGTCTTTGGGCGATGTATGTGTCTCCAAGAAGCTCTGGGTGGATGGACTTGATCCAACATTTTGGAGTCTGCTGTGTTGTTGCTTCCATTTCAGCAGGCCTCCTCGCCGTGGCCTTTCACTGGTTTCTGTCCTCGTTCTTAGTCTTTGCCATCTCCTGGATAGTCACATGTGTTCTGCTGTGTGGCTCCAAGCATGCACGGTGCTTCCTTCTGCTCTTTTTCCTGTCTTGTGGCCTGCGGGAAGGCAGAAATGCTTTGATGGCTGCTGGCATGGCGATAGTCATCTTTGGACATGTGGAAAATATTTTTCACAACTTTAAAGGTCTTCTGGACAGTATGACTTGCAACCTAAGGGCCAAGAGTTTCTGTATCCATTTTCCACTTTTGAAAAAATACATTGAAGCCATTCAGTGGATGTATGGCCTCACGACTCACCTGAGTCTATTTGATGACCTTGTTTCTTGGAACCAGACTCTGGCGGTCTCTCTTTCCAGTCCCACTGAAGCCCTGGAGGCACAGCTCAACGACACCAGGGGCAGGGTCCTGGGAGTCCTGTACCAGATGGTGAAGGCCACCGAGGTGCTCTCTGCCCTGGGCCGGCAGCTCCTCGCCCTCACAGGCCTTCTGCTGCTCCTGCTTGGCACTGGACTCTTCATGAAGCGGTTTTTGGACCCTTGTGGTTGGAAGTTCAAAAACATCTACATCACCAGACAATTTGTTCAGTTTGATGAAAGGGAGAGGCATGGAGAGAGGCCCTGTGTCCTCCCGCTGACTAAGAAGGAAAGGAAGAAGTACGTTATCATCCCGTCTTTCTGGCTGACTCCTAAAGAAAGGAGAAATCTGGGGCTGTTTTTCCTCCCCATCCTAACGCATCTCTGCATCTGGGTGCTGTTTGCAGCCATCGATTATCTGCTGTATCGACTCATTTTCTCAGTGAGCAAACATTTCCAAAGCTTGCCAGGGCTCGAGGTTCACTTGACACTGCACAGAGAGGTAGGTGCTCACGGGCCTTTCCTGGGAGGGGTAGGGGGTATCCTGGCTGTTTGTGGGTTTGTCTTGCAAAAAGCATCATGAAGCTCCCAAGGCATGGCCATGTTTTGCTCACCTTTGGATCCCCCATGCCTGGCCCAGTACCTGACCATAGGAGGTGCCCAGTGATTGCTGGTTAAATTGAAGTCCCAGGATTAGAGTATGATATTCTGAAAATCTTTGGTCACTGTATTCATTTCCTGGGTAATTCAAAGCAGAAATGTATTTATTCTGGGGTGTATTCATTCTTAGAGTTCTGGGCTGAGAAATCTGAGACCGCTATTGCAGGGCTGACATCAGGAGGTATTTGCTGGGTAACACTCCCTTCCATGAGGGGAGAATCCACTCTTTGCTTCTTCCAGATTCTGGTGGTAGGCATTCCTTGGCTTGTGACTTCATCACTCCATCTTTGCTTCTGTCCTCACATCGCCTTCTCACTGGTGAATGTAAAATCTTGCTCTGCCTCCCTGTTGAAAATTGCTCGCAGCCACATGAGGGATCCCCAAGGCAATTCTGCATCTCAAGATCCTGAAATGGCTCACACCCACAAAGATCTCCCCCACCCCCACCCTCAAATAGACTAACATTAACAGGTTTCAGAGATTAGGGTATTATATCTTGGCTGGCAGTGGGGGGCGTATAGGGTAAATGAAAAAGTATCAGCCTTTTCCACCCTCCCGCCATTAGGATTAATGATGGACCCTGTGGTCCTACATCTAGGCCCGATAGCGGGCACCTGGAGTAGGGTATGGACATGCACAGGTGGGCACACCTGCGCTGAGACTGGGCTTATAAGGGCGGTGCCACGGGAACGCCAGAGAGGGAGAACGAGCGCACAACCAGCAGAGCAGCAACAGAGTGAAGATTTGCCTGGTGCTGGGAGGCCTGCCAGCCCCCTGGCCCCCCGCTCCCCCTGGCTTGTAAAAAGCTCCATAAAAGCCTGAAAAAGCCACCTAGAGCTCCAGGACTCTCCTTAACCCGTCTGCTTGGATCATGGAGATCCTGCTCTGCGTCTTCCTGCCACTTCAGGGCATTTTTCAGCTTCCAACACTTAGCAAACACTGGAACATGAAACATGAAAAATATCTCTGATGTGGAATCCCAAGTTGCTTCTCAAGCAGGAGTCTCAGGCATGAACCTAAGAAGCAGATTTACGGTCTGGCCTCCTCTCTCCCTCACACTCAGGCAAGAAGACACTGAGCACCTTCTCTGAACAAGGGTGCTTTTCCATGCATCCTGGGTCCTTTTCAAACATGAGAAGCTCATGTGGAGTGTTTGGGCAGAAGGCCATTGAAAAGGGTTCTTAGGCAACCTACTAATACAGCTGGTGCTCCATCTTGGTTAACCGACCCCTCCCTCCCCCCAATGGAGCCAGCTACCAGCCCTGGTCACTTGTTTCGACCTTGTGTGTGTTAAAAATTTCCCAGAGTCGATGCAGTGCCTCAGGCCTTGATTTACAGACATTTTATTTTCAACAGGAGAGTATCTTTATTTTATTTTTTTTTAAGATTTATTTATTCATACAGGAACTGGGATACAGGCCAGAGGTGTGGGGGGTGAGAGGATTCACCAGAGACAGAGCGGGGAACAGAATAGGCAAATTGACCGAAGTACACTGCTGAGGGGAGCAGCAGGCGAGACAGGAGAGGTCTGCCATGCCATGTGGGTTGCTCCCTGGCGGGGATCGAACTCATGCTTCAGTGGCTGCAGATAGCTTCATAGGTTGCGTCTTAACCCCTTGCACTACCAGGGAGGACCAGGAAAGTTTCTTTAGTAAGCTCCATGTGTTTCAGAGGAGGTGGTCCGCAGACTCGGGCTCAGGTGCTGGAAAGCAAAGACCTTCGGAAGCAGAGATCTTCGGCCGTGGCTGCACATGTTGTTACCTCAGGACTGAACAAGCAAGCAGAGGATTCCAGGACTTCTCTCTGGACCCGCAGGGATTCAGATGTAACTGGACTTGGGTGAAGAAGTATTAAAAACTCCCCAAATAATTCCAATAAGTGGCCAAGATTGAGAACCACCTTCTTAACCCATCGCCCAAAGAGTGGAGCTGAAGTTTAACCCCTAAAGGCTGTCAGCTGGACCGACATATTAATGAGCCAAGTCAGTGTTTCTCTGAGGCGGAGGCTCCTGAGTTTCAGGAAGTCTGCCTCTCTCTCCTCCGCGCCTCTCCTCTCGGCAGCCTGTGCCCCCGGTAAGGTTGGTGCTTTTCACATGTTCCATCTTTCCTCTTTCTGTTTTTCCCTGTGGAAATTTGTGAAGACATGGCTATTTCAGAGGCTCTGGATCTAGTTAGATGTTTGTCTTAGGTTTTTTTTTTTTTAACCCAGAGATTGTGATCCTGGGCAGGTAGGGCATGCACGTGAGTGTGAAAATGTGTGTGTGTCTTGCACGTGGGCTGGAGTGCCCTGACCTGGACTGGTGAAAACACCAACACTTTCCTACCTGTCTGATTTCCCCTCTTCGTCACTGAGCTACAATAGACTGTGCCACCTGCTGGGGTAATCTGAGGGGGCATGTGGCAGAAAGGGTGCCTGGCCACCTCCTTGGACACCCCACTTCCATATCTCTCCTGCTGCATCCACACTTTCCCTCTCGTTTTCTTCAGGCTCAGCAGGTACCTCCGGCTCCAGCCCCTCCTCGTCCTGGACTGCTTCTCAGAGCTGATTACTCTGCTTCCTCTGAAGAATTCAGTTAATTACAAAACCCTGTTGCTCTAGCTCGCTGGAGCAGGGTGGATAATGGAAGCAGTGTTTCAAATGAAAACCAAGCAAGGAGACTCCAGGAGGAGGACGAGTCTCCTTGTTGGTCTCCTTAGTTCTTCCTCTCCTTTCTACCCCTTTTGCTTTTCTTCCCTGTATTTCTCTCTCAGCCAACACCCATGCTTATTTTGGGAATTCTCACAAAAGATGGGGGGAAGTAAGTTCTGCCTTCCAAAAAAGAGTCCAGAAACTTTCTAATGCCAATGTCCTAACAAATACAGTTTTGGGTGTGGCTGTAGATGGGAGGGCAGTGTAGGGAGTGCAGAAATGTCTAGAAGGTGATGCCTGCCATTGAGGGCTCCCATCCTGGGGGGTGGGGAGAGGTGCTGCTCACACTCATGGCGACAGCAGGGTGGTGGGTGCTTGGAACAGATGTGAGCATGAGACTGCTGTGCGGGCTCCTCACAGTTTCTCCTGCCCTGCCTCGGAGACTGTGCCACTGGGAGCTGGCACCTCGTGACCAGCTGTGCCCTGCCCTTATCCCAGGATGCCTGCAGAGGTTCCTGGTCTCTCCATAGCTGCAGATTTACAAAGAAGTCAAGTGGGAAGAAACACATCACTTTAAGGTTTTGTCAATATTGAGTTCCCACTTTCATGTGATTTTATTTTTATTTATTTTTAAAAAAGATTTATTTATGCATGCAGGCAAGAGCTGTGGGGTAGGGCAGAGGTGTGTGTGGGGAGTGAGAGGATTCACCAGAGACAGAGTGGGGAACAGAACATGCAGATCTACTGAAACATACTGCTGAGGGGAGCAGCGGGCGAGACAGGAGAGGTCTGCTGCGCCATGTGGGTCAGCTCCCTGGTGGGGGATGAACTCATGCTGTAATGGCTGCTGACAGCCCTATAGTGCTGAGATTTAACCCCTTGTGCCACCAGGGAGGCCTTCATGTGATTTCAAATAAATATAAAAGAAGGAGAATGAATTGAGCTAGCTGGATAGGTGAGCTTTGTAAGTAAAAATCGCCATAGTTGCTACTTACTGAGCACCTGTTATGTGCACAGCATTTGGCTGCATTAACTTTTCAGGACTGGCCAACACCAGAGTGGGTCCTCTGTCCATTACTCAGTGCTGTCTTGGCAACTCATTTACTAAGGAGAGGTAAACACATTTTAAAACATCAGGGTGCCGTTTAGTACATTGCTTGGCATTTTTGAAAGAGTTCATTTGTCCCCCACATAACCCTCCACCAATTCGGTACAAAAATGTTGACTCAACCTTTATGAAGCCCTGATTCCCAGCTGCAAAATCCCTAGTTGGATTCCTAGACTAAATAACTTCTTCCCAGATCGCACACCCGCTGCTTTCTTATTGCAGGATTTCTCATCACTGCCTCAATCGATGTGTTTGTTTTTTCAATAGTATTAAAAAGAGCACATGCTTTTGCTCTGGGGACCAAAATCTCTCTATTTAATTGTAGTAGAACTGTCTTTTTAATAAAAGAAAAGGAGAGGCGCCATAAATGCTCTGCATGGCTTAGACGCTGTGCTGGGAAAACTATAGACTTGACTGGCATTGCAGTGAGATCCCAGATTTGGGGTTCCCAGATTCCTTACAGGTGTGAGGAGAGATCCAAAGTGCGCACTATGCCCCAGGTGTGCTTGGGTTCTTTTTGAGAAATCATTTATCTCTTCCTGGCCCCAGGGCTCTGGGGCACTGGGGTGATAATAACTTACTAAGTACTCCAGTCTGTAAGGTTAATGCTCCATCCCCAAGGTGCTTAATTTACACTGGGAGAAGTTTATTCATGGGCAGGATCTGGTCCATTAATTCCTGTTTTGCCAAATTAGAAAACAAATCCACCGAGAGATTAAATGACTTTCTCAGGTCAGAGGGAAAAAAGAGCTGAATCAGCACATGCTTTTCTTGCTGGAGGCTGGACTGAGTGGCTCAATGTCATCTTCTGCCCTCTGGGGCAGTCTGCTGTGGGCGCTGCTTGTTAATCTTGCCTTCAAGCAGGTAGGAATGCAGCTCTCCTGGGGCATCCAAGAGAGAAGAGAAAATGTCCAATTTTGAAGACTTCTGCATATGATTGTAGAATCACCTCTAGTAAATACTATTCTTAATTTTCTTGCACCGAGAAGAATCTCTCCTCTCCTAACTCTAGAAAATTGACTTATAACAGAATTTAATGCCCCCACATTTGTGACCTTATGGTCTGCTGATAAGATATTTGTTAAGCTCAGGAGGATACAACTGAGTCTTAAGGGACTTTGCTTCAAAAGTTTTATCCCCTTGGTGAGCTAAACCATCTTTCATTAGCCCCATGTGCCCCAAAGTGTAGAAACAGGTGTTGTGTAAAAATAGATTATGTGACCAAATTTCTTAGGAGAACCGCTGGGTGAAGTTAAACAGATTTCTCTGGCTTCCTTTCAATAGTCTCTTGGGCATTGTGACTTTCTGAAGAAGGGACAGAGTAGACACACTTACTTGATACTTTTCTCTCAAGGGAATCTATGTTTCTGCAAACCCACTTTGGAAATCATTGCACTAGTGACAAATAGAACTCATTTCTTTCCCTTTGCTCTGGTCGTAACACACAAAAGAAGCTGCAATAGTTCCTTTAGCCAAAATTCTCCTTGTGTTTGAAGATAAATGCTATGTGTTGCAGGACAAGACTCAGGCGTGAAAATGTCATGATCGTCATGGTTTTATGCTTTCATTTTAGGAACAAGGAACTCAAGACATCATCCACGATTCTCCCTTCAACATATCTCTGTTTGAATACAACTGTGTCCCTAAACCAAAGCTCTTTCTGTCTAAGACGTGGATTCCTCTCAGTATCATTCTTGTGATGCTAGTGACATTAGGACTGTTGTCCTCTATCCTGATGCAACTTAAAATCCTGGTGTTGGCATCCTTCTACCCAAGCGTGGAGAGGAAGCGTATCCAATACCTACATGTGAAACTACTGAAGAAACGATCAAAGCAGCCAGTAGGAGAAGAAAGTCCAAAGCTGAGTCTATACTTTACCAAGGTAAGGCCAAGAAGGGGCACAATCATCTGCTTTGAGTTTTTTTAAAGATTTATTTATTTATGCATATAAGAGCTTGGGTACAGGCCAGAGGTGTGGGGGGTGAGAGGATTCACCAGAGACAGAGTGGGGAACAGAACAGGCAGATTGACCGAAGTACACTACTGAGGGGAGCAGTGGGCGAGTCAGGAGAGGTCTGTGCCATGTGGGTGTCTCCCTGGACAGGGATCAAACTCTTGCTGCAGTGGCTGCGGACAGCTTCATAGGTTGGACAGCTTCATAGGTTGCGTCTTAACACCTTGCGCCACCAGGGAGGCCCCCATCTGCTTTGAGTTTCTTAAAACTCAAAGCAGAAAAAGGGACTTTCAAAGCATTCTTCAATTTTACATCAGGTCTTGTATCCCCAGCAATGTATAAGACGTTGGGTGGGAGGGGGACTTAACATATACATGGCTAATGCCCTTAGCTTTTTGATTTGAATGTGGGTCTGGAGAGTTTTATAAGATATCCTTCAAAACAATGATTTCAAATGAGTGTGTTTAGTCATATCAGAAAGAGACTATTGGAAAGACCTCTGTAATGGTTATTAAAGGACAGTGCCCCCAAAGAGTTATTTATCTAGGACAAAGCAGTAACAGAGAGAGAAATATCTACTATAACTTGCTAAGCCCAAAGAATTTGCTTTTCCCAGCATTAAAAAAATGTATGTTATAAATATTGGTTATATATAGCCATACATATTTATAGCATAATGACTTTCATAGACATAAAATGAATACTTGTCAAGATTTTATTTAACTTATTTAAAAAAGTAAGAAATTCCAGCCAAATCAACAAACAATTCAAAGCATACCCACATTCAAAGCATCATTGAGAAAACCAACATGAATTTGCTTCATCTATACAAAATTGGCTTCTTCCACAAGGATAGATTGGAGGATGAATTATACTCTATAAAGAGAAATTCATTTGCATGTCAATGTCATGAGCAAGAGTCATTTGCATTGTTGCTATCAGTTATCTACAACTTAAGAGAACCAGAAAATAACTTATAAGCTGTGAGGGACTGAGCTGACCCCAAGGATGACCTTTTCTGTCCATTTCAAAGTCAATTTGCAATTTTTCTTGTGACTAGCAGTCGCACAATCAAAATTTATGCCAGGCAACTCTAATCTCATTCATCTATCCTTTTTTTCTCTTCAGATTCACTTTTGGCTTCCAGTCCTAAAAATGATTAGGAAAAAACAAATGGATATCACAAATGAAGACCATTCCTGATAGACCCAGAATAGTTCCTCAGCCACGACACCCCAACAATTTCCTTAGTTCTTCTGCCCAGCTACAGAGAACTTACATCCTCTTGCTTGATCCTTGGGGATTTAGTTTGCAGGGCTAAACCATTTTTCTCTCATAAGGCCAAAGGGCTACGAGGTAAATGTGATGTCATCTGCCTTCCAAACAAGGCACACAATCTGGACTGTGTCTCAGTCTAACAGGACGACACCCAGGCCCCTCGAAGATGAGTCTCAGCTAGAGTATTCAAAGATAAAAAAGAGAATTAGGAAAAATCAAGTATCTAATTTGGGTGTCCAAGGAGAACATACATGTATAATGCCAGTAAGATGTCTGTAAACTCGGCGATCCTTCTCTGTCCTTCTTATTATCTTTCAGAGTTATTCTCTGCCCCACAGCTGTCCCACTCCCTCTGCCTCATTATTCAATAATTCTTTCTGAAACTCCCTCCCAGCAGCTCCTAATCTCCCCTGACCACCATCTTGGCTACTACCCATGACTTTTCTGGGTCTCTTTAGATTTTCCTCTTCTAGAAAATCCTCAACCTGGTACTTAGGGAACACATGTATCAAAATCATATAACATACTTGTTAAAATGAGCATCTTGGGCCCCATTTACACTGTACTCAATATAAACTCTACACTACTGGGGACTATTTCCCTTATATTCAAAATACTGAGGAGGGAGAGAAACCTTGAACACTGATTCTATTATCTTTATAGTGACAGATGTGGAAGATGTAAAGAAACATTTTTTTTTTTCAAATTTAACTCTTCATTATGGAAAGGTTTCAAATTTACAAAAAGTGGTACAATAGTACAGAGCTTCATTTACCCTTTATCCATCATCCCCATTTTTTAACATCTTATACAATCATAGCACAATTATTAGAGTCAGGTTAATAACATTTAAAAATGCATAGTCTACATACATTTTATTGAATTTCTATCAACTGATCACTAATACCATTTCAATTGTGTTTCAGAACAACCCTGTGAGGTAGGTGTCCATATTTCCAGTTTGTAGATCAGAAATCTCACCCTCAAGGACCCTGGCTTAGCTGGCCTGGGTGAGGCTTGGCATCACTAGATGATGCCTACAGGCAGCCAGGGTTGAGAACCAAAATTTCAGGAAGTTTTACAGAATTTCAGGTCTTTCAATTCCAATCTTCACTGGCGAAATTTCTCTAACAGAGGAGCTTGCATTAGAAGTGAGTCCGATCCAATATTTCCTGAAGTGTGTTCTTTAGACCACTAATCTTTTTGTTGATTCATAGCTCCTTCCTTCCAACTTAAAGATTTACAAAGCATGTTGTCATTGTCCAAAAACAATTTAAGAATCCTATGTAAAAAAACGTTTTTCACCCGAAATTTCCCCCAAACTATTAAAGCATGAAAGAATTTTGCCTGCAGTAACTATTTACATCATACAGGACCAATCCTATAGTCAACCCACTAGTAAATGCTGATAGAATTGTCATGACTTCCACCCAAAAAAGGATTTGAGAAGGTAAAGATGCATTTGTAGTTGAGTTGTTTAAGTGTTCTGATGATTTTCTACTTTGCTGTATTTTCTAAACAAACAAATATATATATATATCAACAAACTAATACAATGTGAATTTTTGTACTAAATTTGCATTTATTCCTCCTACAGAGGAGGGATTTGCCTCACATTAGCAAAGCAAATAATTAGGTGCTCAGTTTTGAGAGGAAATTGGATGCCTCTAGCCTTCTTTTTTTTTTATAAATTCTTTTTTTTTTAAGATTTATTTATTCAAGAACTGGGGTACAGGCCAGAGGCACGGGAGGGTGACAGGATTCACCAGAGACAGAGTGGGGAGTAGAACAGGGAAACAGACCGAAGACACTGCTGAGGAGAGCAATGGGCGAGACAGGAGAGGTCTGCCACGCCATGTGTGCATCTCCCTGGCTTGCCGGCAATCGAACCCGCGCTGCAGAGGCTGTAGACAGCTTCACAACGCTGCACTCAACCCGCTGTGCCACCGGGGAGGCCCACCTTTGGCCTTCTAAGTTCTATGAATTAACTGATCTATATATTTACCTAACAGCATCACCAACATCTCAGCAAACATTTTAGCAGAGAGGATAGAAGGTGCGGGTGATACCCAGTTTGTTGGCCTCTGAGAAATGGGAAGACAGCAGGTGCTTAGAAAACAAATATGTAGTGGGTTTTGCTGAGTGCCAAGGTGGTACCTATAGGGTCCCATGGCCAGGTTCTGCCCTTACCTCTTACCAATGCCCAATTTAAACCTCTTATCAATGAGAAGGGTACTAGGAGTTTGGGAAAGGAGTCTTAACTTCCTTGAAGTCCAAATACCTTTCCGAAGTAGGATAATCTCTGACTTTGAACCACTCACAAAACTTGTGGAGAGTGTCACATCAGTTAGTTGTACCTGTTCTTACCCTGGCTCTGAAGTGTTTGTCCCCATTGGAAGGACAGACTGGCAAGTTGGTGCTGTTACAAAAGGCAATTTTCATCTTGAAAACAAAATTTAGGCTTGCTTGTTAGGGCCAGTCTAACTTTAGATAAAAAGTGCTTATTTTATTGCAGCTTATCTACTTTAGATTCAAATGAATGGTTAGTTAAATTTCTTGAGACATCTATTGTGAAACAGCTCTGTTAATCTTGTAGTGGGAGAAAGATACTGCCCAAGGCAATTTACTAGAACTTCCCTTTTCACTTCTAATTTTAATGACTTATAAAAGTAGATTGCATTATTGTTGAAGTCACTATTTCGCATCTCACAAATCCTAACTTAGTGGCCACATTTTGCTAGGGTCTTTCCAGCGTCATTCAGATGTTCTTGTCAACTCCACATTTGTTGTCTATTGCCTTTCACTCTGATAGTAAGATGTAGCAATTGTATTTATTTTTATTTTTTTATTTATTTTATAGAGGCATGTTTTTTAATTAATTTATTTGTTTGTTTTGTTTATACATGCACTGGGTACAGTCAGAAGCGCAGGAGGGTGAGAGAATTCACCAGAGCCAGAGCGGGGAGCAGAGCAGGCAGAAGGACCGAAGTACACTGCTGAGGGGAGCAGCGGGCGGCAGGAGAGGTCTGCGTGCCATGTGGGACCCTCCTCTGGTGGCCGGGGAGCAGCCGGGGATCGAACCGGCGCTGCAGAGGCTGCGGGCAGCTTCGCAACCTAGAGCTCAACCGCTGCGCCACCGGGGAGGCCCAAGATGTAGTAATTCTAAACATCTTCATAGTAACAGATCATTTCTATTGTTTGACTTGGGATGTTAAACTTTGCCTTTCTCTTAAATTCTCTATCTGTTGCTTCTTTAGTTAGGACCTAATCAGTCATAATTATGATATAGGATATGTTGAAGTCTTCACATATAATCTATTTTTTTTGCCTGAATCAATTTAAGATATATATCCTAAGGGATAATATAATAAGAACTAGCTTTCTCACCCACAGTGAATTATAGCAATTTCCAACCAATAACAAAGGCCATTGAGGTCAAGCACTTTATTTAACTTTATAGTATTGGAAGACACAGGAAGTGGTTTAAAAAATGAATGTGGGTTGAGTGTGGATATAGATCTGTATTTAAAAGCCTGTTAGATTAGGCTAACATCACCTCCTACACAGTGGGGATGAAAGATTTAAATTAATGGGTAACTGAGACCACTGAACTTTCAGGGTTCAAAGTCCCTCATGGTTGCAGTGACATTTTTTTATAAGTAAGAAAGAAAAGGGAGATGAGTAACAGGGTAAATGGGTTAATAGCCTTTTATCATCTAAATTCTGGGCATATATTAACATCACTCTTGTGATCAGAAAACAGAGGAAATCAGAGTTAGATTTGGGATTTGAGGAATTTATGCAAACAGTTCTGTTAAGCATTAGTGACATCCACTAGGGCAAGATAGTTTTTTAATCGCTCAGCTTGTTTTCTTATTTACAAAGTGCCATAAAATATCTTTTTTTTTTAAAGATTCATTTATTTATACAAGCACTGGGTACAGTCAGAAGCGTGGGAGGGTGAGAAAATTCACCAGAGCCAGAGAGGGGAGCAGAACAGGCAGAAGGACTGAAGTACACTGCTGAGGGGAGCAGCGGGTGGCAGGAGAGGTCTTCGTGCCATGTGGGACCCTCCTCCAGTGGCCGGGGAGCAGCCGGGGATCGAACCGTTGCTGCAGAGGCTGCGTGCAGCTTCGCAACCCAGCGCTCAACCGTTGCGCCACCAGGGAGGACCAGCCATAAAATATATTATGGCATATTTTGGAGAATTAAAAGAGATGGCATATATAAAGTTTTCCCAAATTATATTAAGAAATGTTAGCTCTATCTTTTTCCTCGTTCTCCTTTTTTTTTTTTTTAAAGATTTATTTATTTATACAAGCACTGGGTACAGTAAGAAGCGCGGGAGGGTGAGAGAATTCACCAGAGCCAGAGCAGGGAACAGAACAGGCAGAAGGACCGAAGTACACTGCTGAGGGGAGCAGCAGGCGGTAGGAGAGGTCTGCGCGCCATGTGGGACCCTCGCCCGGTGGCCGGTGATGGAACCGGCACTGCAGAGGCTGCGGGCAGCTTCACAACCCAGCGCTCAACCGCTGCGCCACCCGGGAGGCCCTTTCTTCTTTCCCCTTTCCCTACCTAAACCTACTTTCTTTACCTTTTGACCTGATATAAAAAGAGTAAAAACAAAAAGAAAGAATTAAAGAATTTCAACCAGACTTGATGGGCAATAGGGATTGGCAAACTTTTTCTGTGAAAGAACAGATAACAAATATTTCAGGCTGTGTAGTCATTTGATCTGTGTTACCATTTTACACTTTTGCCACTGTAGAAGAGTGAAGGCAACCACAGACACCATGTGAATGAATGAACATGGATGTGTCTCAATAAAACTTAATTTGTAAAAACAAGTGGCAAGCTGCATTTGGCCTGCCTGATAATATTGGTAGACTTTTTTAGAAATCCATGGAATTAATGCAAGACATGTTGCCATAGTGACTTACAATCAGAAGGAAAATAAGAGTTCAAATCTCTCTTTGCTTCTATCTAGCTGGTTGACTTTACCGGAGTTTCTTCACCTTTCTGAGATTGACTTTTTTTATAAAGATGAAGAAGCTGGGGTACAGAATCTCTGAAAAAAACTGTCATCTCTCAAAGTCTAGGATTTTTTGGGAGCCTACAATCTCCTGGAGAGAATCACTAAGCATTTGATTTGTTTGTTCTTTCATGGTTGATCAATGAATCATAAAGAACAACAGAAGCTGTTGGGTCAAAAGCATGATTTATTGGATGAAAAAGGGAAAAGATACCATTTGGTAAAAATAAATGTTATTTTCTCCACAGACACAAAGAAGCAATCAAAATGCTTATTAAATTCTAAATGTCACATGTAATTTCATATGGTTTCAAGTCAGGCTGCAATGCCCGTGGATGAAGACCTGAAAATTCAGTCTTGCTTTTTCAAAGAGAGCAGTGCACTCACTCAAAATGTGATGTATTAATTAGGAAGCAAAAGAAATCAATCAAAATTGTTTTTCCAAATGGAAACCATTGTGGAAGT